TATTTATGCTGCTGACCATTCCAAGGCGGCGCCCCTCTGTGTTCGTCAGATGTATGTCTATGTTGTTTCATACTGTTTTGGTGACACTTTTGCTTGTGTCCCTTCTTGTTTTCTCGTCTACGGTAAGTATCTTCCCCTTTACACTTGTTCTTATTTCTTTAATTTACCCACCCCCCTTCCACGGGTCTTATGTCCACTTCCCCTATGCCCTTTGATTTTGTGGGCCAATCATTCAGACATTTATTTGTTTTCTTTGACATCCTTGTCAGTTACCACTTATTTCCTATTATTCAATCATTTGAATTTCTTATTAGTTACAAATTATTTATCATTTTAATGATTGGCCTGTCCGTGCTCCGCCTTGTACCCTGTCCTGTTTTTTGTTTGGGGTCCGTCTGGGCTCCTTGCCCCTGGACCTTGTTGCTGGGTCATGTGGGGGTTGCGTTCATTGAACGCCACCATTTTTTGTTGATCTTGTTTATCATATTTCACAGGAATGTACCTTAGCTAGTCCTCTTCAAAAATGAAACTGAGCTGAATATATAAAATTTCTTATAATTGCAGAAATGAAATCCTCTTCTCAGAGCAACTGCAGGTTTCAAAATCACGCAAAGTCTCCAGTAATTAAAACACATTTAGTCGCCTCATATGATTACGCAGGAATAAATGGTTGCTGTAATTCTGATACCTCAACTCTAAAAGGCAACCCCTTAGCCACAAGATAAGTGCATGACCGTTACTGATCCGTATTCTGTCTGAGACGCAACACACTTTCACTCGTCTGTCACTTTCTAGTAAATCCTTAACCGATGCCACTAAGCCGCTTTGAGTTAATGTAAGTCTTCCCGCTTGGAAATCGTCTGCAGAACTCATTTCCACTTTTGATAAAGGACCATTCGATTTTCAAATCGTACATTATATTCACATCGTCATTTTCTGTCGCTTGTTTATCATGTTTATGTTTCTTTGACTTCGTTATGTTCCGTTTTTTTTTCTTGAACGTTTTCTTTGGTAATGGTAAACGTGCTTTCCTTGTTACCCCCCCCCCCCGCTTTTCACCCTTACAGCTTTTATCCCTTTAATTCTCATATGGGCCCGTTTTAGTTTTTATTATTTCACTAATTACGTGTCCCTCTCCTTTCGCCGCCTTTATGTCCACTCCTAGTTTTGGTTTGGTGTCTTACGGATGCCTTCTTGATGTGTCGGGGGGGGGGGGAGCTGCGTCCTGTGAACGTTGCCTTTGCCTTGTTGATCTTTATTCTCGTTTTTTAGTCAATCATGTGTGTTGTTGATATATTCATAACCTTAAGTTAATAACGTCAGATACACTAATCAACGATTTGTGAAGCATCATGCAATGCGCTTGTATTATATTAGGTGTATATCGAAAGAACTGCCACGTTTTGTCAACAAAAATCGTCAAAATTTTGACGTGCGTTGGTTGGCAAAATTTTAATTTTTTGTGCACCCACTTTAGTGGCGGGCATTTAAATTTACCCTTGTCCGTCCGTCCGTCCTTCCGTCCGTCCGTCTGTCCGCACTCACAGGAGAGTAATTGTGTGGCTAGAGGGACAATAGGTAACTGTTCTTTCTCTTTGATGTCATTCATTCCGTAATGCTTTTATGTGGCTATTTTCTGTTGTGTGGCTAAAAAGAACAATAGAGAGAACAATAGAGTAGCCACATAATTACTGTCCTGTGAGAACTTCCGTCCTTCCGTCCGTCTGTCGGTCCTTCCGTCCGTCCGTTCTCCTTTGTGTCGCACGTAACTCAAAAAGTATTTGACCTAGAGTCATGAAACGTTACAGAAATGTTGATCAGCATGTGTAGTTGTGCACCTGGGTATTTTTGTCTGGATATATTTAGTATTTTTAGAGTTATTGCCCTTGACTTAGTAAAATTTTGAAATTTTCAACTTGTGTCGCACGTAACTCAAAAAGTATTTGACCTATAGTCATGAAACTTTACAGGAATGTTGATCAGCATATGTAGTTGTGCACCTGGGTATTTTCGTCTGGATATTTTAGTATTTTGAGAGTTATTGCCCTTGACTTAGTAAAATTTTGCAATTTTCAACTTGTGTAGCATGTAACTCAAAAGGTATTTGACCTAGAGTCATGAAACTTTACAGGAATGTTGATCAGCATGTGTAGTTGTGAACCTGGGTATTTTTGTCTGGATATTTTTAGTACTTTTAGAGTTATTGCCCTTGACTTAGAATTTTTTTGCAATTTTCAGCTTGTGTCGCATGTAACTCAAAAAGGATTTGACATAGAGTCATTAAGCCTTACGGGAAGGTTGCTCAGCATATTTAGTTTTGCACCTGGGGTTTCGCTTGTGGATTTATCCAGTATTTGTAGAGTTATTTATCTTGACTTAGTAAAAACTGTTTCATTATGTTGTTATTTGTTCCTTGAGTGCTTGAGTTAGAATCAACCAACTTTACAGGAATAATGATCAACATCACTAAATTACAGGAATAATGATTCACATCACTATGAAGCTATGCACCTGGGACTTTGCATGTGGATTTTTTCAGTTTTGTTAGATTTACTGCCCTTGACTTACAGTAGTATAAATTTGCAATTTTCAACTTGTTCATGCATAGCTCAAAAAGTATTTGACTTATAGGCCTGAAAGTTTACAAGAATGTTGGTCAGCATGTGTACTTATGCACCTTGGGGTTTCCTTGTGGATTTATTCAGTATTTGTAAAGTTCTTGCCCTTTACTTAGTAAAAGATATTTAGTTTTCAAAAATATTTGACCTAGAGTCATAAGATTGACAGAACAGTGGCGCGTAGGGGCACCCGTGTCCTATGGACACATTTCTAGTTTAAAATAACATTTTCAAAAAATTGAAATGACATAAGTTTCGTACATTTGCCTTTCGATGGCAAATACGTTCGGTTCTCACAAACACAAGTAGTGCGTTATGTTTTCACAATGGAACTTTATGCAATCTGTTGGGACAATCCTCGTATAGACTAATACGTTGAGTGCGAATTTCATAGAATCACACTGACGTCGAATGACGTTGCGACTCATTATTGCATAGTTTTAAATCTTTGTTTTTTTAATCGATATCATAAATTGGATAAAATTCTGCTTGTAGAATGGAAACATATCGAAATGTCATATAACAATATGGTGATCTATTTTTTATAGATTTTATAGAAGTATAACACGAACTTTTTGAACAAACCTTTTATAAATTAGGGCACCAAAGGGCGGGTACATTTTTGACCTCAGAGCCGGATCCTTTTTGTAAATGACTGCATGATAAATATCTTATCTCTTTATTTTCTTAGAGAAGTCTTTTAAGATTTGTATGACACATGTCTACTTAAACTAAATGACCCCTTGGGCGGGACCGGTTACGCGAAACCCAGAGCATGATTTATAACTTTTGTAGCTGTCCACGTGGCAATGCTACCTCAAACATTTGCCTATGTAAAGTAAGTGACCCCTGAAGCTGGGCCATTTCTGTCCCTGTGAGTTCGATGTATATACCTTTTATCGATGATCATAAGGCTCTATAAGCCTTCCTTTATGAAATTACAATGTCAACAGCGTAGGCATTTGTCTTTTAGCATTTCGTAACAAATATCTACAAATATTTTTAAAATTATGCAGCTTGGGGAAAAATTACATATCACATGTGAATACATTACTGACTTTTACATTATAAAATAAATACTGTGACCTTTTACAGCAATGTATATCAGGTGAACGAACCAGACACTCTTGTTTAAATATTGGTCGATGACTGAAATCTGGTGTTGTAATCTGATTGTATGCATATGCTGTAAATTTTCTTGTTTTATGACGTATATTTTATATAACGATATATGTTATGCCTAAAGCAAGATATAACAATTTCATGAACACGACGATGACAAATCTCCATATTAAATTACCTGGGTCCATTTTTCCTTAAATGTTGAACGTAAAGTAGTGCCTTTTTAACGAATAATAATTGACCTGCTGAAGAGAGTCTTCATTAACTATATAAATGGTATTGTAACAAAATAATTCTTCGCAAATACTAAGGTCAGACACAAAGCAAGTGACTGACATAAAATGTGCTAAGAAGTGAACTTCTTCTTACAGAAGTCAATAGCAAGTTAACGAATTTGAATCCAAACTCAAACCCCCAACTAAGCAACGAACTAAGGTTTTTGGCAATTCTTGTTTTAGATAAGTCTATAGCTACAAGCATGACGTCACTATTGAAAAGTATTATATTCTACTGTAAATTCTTAACGTCTGGATTTCAAATTTGAAATATGTTTTATTACATCATTATATCATTGCCAATAATATTATCATATGTTTTTTTCTCTTTTTTTTTCATTGTTTTGTCTTTCATTTTGCGTCCAGTACTATATTACATGACCATGTTGTCTCCTCTGAAAGCTCTTGTAAAGTTAAACCTGTACGTATTTATATATATATTGACAATATATTTACAAAGTAGATATTTTATACTTATTATAGTTGTGTAGATTCGTAAAATTCGAAATAGGAATAATGTAGTTTTTACGATTTGTGCAGAACACTTATGTTCACAAACGTTTTTAAGTTGAGAAAATAACATAATATGCCAAGCATTTGAAGCATCTATGAATCCAGTAAAGTAGGAAGCATCCTTTTGTCATATAATACGGAACATTAATGTAGTTTTCTTGACAATCATTTTTCATCGAAAATGGCCAGGCAAACGATAATAAAAGAGTTTTTTTTTAATTTATACAACAGAAGCAGATCGACATTCATACAACACAGTCCAGTAAATCTCCAGCTACATGAGACCACTTAAATGTCACCCAGCACGACACCGAACGAAATGCAGGAGAAGGGCAGATAGGACGAACATAGCTGAAAAAATCCTTGTTTATAATTTTGTTAAAATTTCCATGACTGAACTGTATGGCCATGTACAATTTTGCACCAGCTTTGTAATTCTGGATCGATTGATGCAAATATAATATTACAGACAAATGGATTTTAGCGCATGGAAAACTGATGACGCATCATTTTCCAGGTAGTATAAAACAGCTTAAAAACGTCAATAAAGACATATCACTGCGGAGCGAAGTCTTGTTGTTTAGTTTTTGTAATAATGGAACACGCTTTTAGTTATATTTTGGTAAGTTAATAACATTTATTTTGTTTAAAAAATAAATATATATTTCTATTGGAAATATTATGCTAATAGTTTTAAATGCATCACTGTTGTTAAGTATTCTTTTTCTTTTAAAAATCATTTGTTGTTGAAATCATAACTAATTTAGTGTTAGGTACATGCATAACTTTTTCACAAAATATGTCAACAAAATAACTGACCCAAACCATTTTGAATCTGTTAATTATGATAAAACAGGGGAAATATCCCTAAAGAACGTCCAAAGGTTAGTGTACGGTTGTTTCATTTTCTGAGATTGTAAGTGTAAAAAATGACTGTTTTCTTTTTTTCTGTTTTTTTTTCCCCTTGTTATGTTGGATGTTAATAAATTCACACCGATACTTTGAAGGTGTCTTATAACGATGTATAACGATTTTCAAGCTTTACTGTGGGAGGAAAACGTCAGGGGTCCCTCCGAGCATCCTTTAAGATACGAACAGGCATCTGGAGAGAACAACCCCATTTCGTAAGCTTACTGGGCAGTTCTCTCAGATGAAAAAAAAATCCAAATTCCCTACAAAGTTGTAACGGGCAAACGATTCGGGGGTGGCGACCTAAATTACTTGGTCGAGAACATTTACAGTAAAAGAATTGACCAAAGTAATACGTTAAGAAATTTACTTTGCCATATTTTACAAAACAATCTTTACAATATTGCCGACGTGAAAACGTGTCAATATAAATGTTCATTGAGTAGATTTAGTTTATACGTTTTCATTCCTAATTGATTAAAATAATGCATTATCTATACAAAACTTTAACTTTAACAGAGAGAGAAAAAAAACAACAACAACAAAAAACTTATGGACAATAGGAGTGACAAATATTGTGAAAACGTTCTAGAAATATAATTTTGATCAACAAAAAGTTTTAATTTTGTTAAATTTGTTGAATTATTCTTATTAATTTATTTTATTTCTTACATATTTATTCTAGTTATTATAGAATAAAAACACCTTTACAGTGACTGTTATGTATGGTGATAGTTTCGTTATTTTGGACAATTAACATAGATTGTTATTTATAACTCGGTAGATTCTTAAGATATGTTGAGTTAGATATATTCTCTGGAGAATTAACGAAAATATTAAAAGCAGTGTTGAATATTTGAGCCGCACCACGACAAAATAAACATATTCCGTTTGCGACCAGCATGGATCCAGACCAGCCTTCGCATCCGCGCAGTCTGATCAGGATTCATGCTGTTCGCTTACCAACCCTCTTACAAGTAGAGAAACTGATAGCGAACAGCATGGATCTTGATTAGACTGCGCGGATGCGCAGGCTGGTCTGGAACCATGCTTGTCGCAAACGCACTATGTTGTTTTGTCGTGACGCGGCTCAATTTTTGGAGGAAGTTCACATATCTGAAATATCCAAGAAAATTAAAAAGAAAATTTATTTCCAATACTTCTTTAGATTAGATTTTGAAAATCCTTTATATTACTCGTATTATACTAATTATAGAATGTCCAATTGAATATTGAACTTAAATCATTTTTGTGAAGTCAATAAGACACTGCTTCATGCAGAATATCTAAGCTTAAGACATTGTAGTTTTACAGAATGAGACTTCACTGTTTTTTCCTATATCAGTCTATATAAATCAATTATCCATGGGGCGGGGCCAATTTTGATATAAAGAAGCCCAAGCCTCTGTTCTGCACATTATCTCATTATAAATAATAATTTTTTTTGCAAAAAAGTAACATTTTTTCCTAGTATTTTTAATTACATTCCACCGGTTTAAAAGATACAGGCCGGACACAAAAACTACTAAGACACGGACGGACGAACGATTAGCTACATAACAATATACACCGAATTCTTTTCGGGCGAACAAAAAAATAAATGTTGTCACCTTATACGACTGCAGCTGACATTTATATATTACAGGATATTGTAGTCTATCGTGAAGAAAAGTGTACAAATACAGTGCTTTGAACCAATTTGAATTTGAAAAGAGAATATTTACCATTTTGGTAATTTCCTGCCCCTTATGTGCAAGTGAGATAAAATAATTTTGTACAGAATTCAACAAATCAATAAAATGACTATGGGGCATCAAAATTTCAATAGATGGCCAGAAAATCTAAATATCTGTGTTACAACTTTAATACTGAATAATGTCATTATTCAATTGCATATGGTGTGTCCTGCAGAAACCTTCTGTCAGTTATGTAATACATATTTTAACCTTTACAACAATCAAATTATCAAACTCCGCCCACCGGTTACGATACGGCCTTCACACAAATCACGTGATGATGGTCTTATCACGTGATTGTGTAAAAATGGCGTATACGCCAATGAAATCGTTAAACTGTAATAAACAGCAACATTTAGACTTGAACTCTGCTCTCAAATATGTCGATATGATTGAAAAAAATTGATTTTTGTAAAGCGTAGAGTCGAAATTAATAATTACTTGAATGATTTCTCTTTCGAGAGGGGTCATTGTTTTTGAAATAAACGGTGCGGTATTAAAATTTTTAAAAATTATTTTCATAATGATTATGTTTCCACAATTATTTTTTATTTTAGTTCACATCTAACACATATCGGTCTTGAAACATTAACAAAACCGTGCTTACTTTTTAAAATAAATACAGAAATTGAAAAAATTCATATCCTCAAAAATCTTGACATGGCAGAGATCTAATCCTGTAAGGGGAGATCACTGCGTAGGAAATTGTCAAATTATATGTTTTTGGGATTATCAATATTATTTTTGTTTTCGTCTTCTTTTTGTTTATCTTTTTAATATTATTAATTGTTTGATTATTTCATGAGGAAAATAGAGTAAACAACATACAGTTACACCATTTCAAATGATATTTTACATTTTATTATGAAGTGTAAGCATAAAGTCCTCTTCGAACACAACTACATGCATTATGATGGCAAAATAACAATGGCTTAATGTAATGAAAAATATATTCATCAATTTGAAATTAAATGGCTCTTAATATGTAGCTTTTAACCTCTTGAATACACGGATAAAAACATTTCTCCGGGTCATTAACAAAAACTTATTCTTTTCAGATATTTATCTCACTGTTAATCGTGTCTGACGCCGATGAAAGTGGATGCAAAAGTCCGAAAATCTACGAATGCAATACACATTCTGACGTAAGTTTGACAAGTATTTGCTTCTTATAATAATAATAATAATAATAATAATAATAATAATAGTAATAAAGACTTTATTTAAAGAGGCAACAGAGTTAGGCAGCCTAGTCTTCCCTATGAGCCTCTATCAAAATGTACATACATACAGTTACAAACAGAAGATTTATATAAACAAAAAAAGATATTGTAAAAGTATCCTTTCTTTATATACGATGTAAAGTTACATAAATATATTGAATTAAATAAATTCTTGTTGGAGTACTATAAATGACAAATCCGGTCTTCTGAACAAAGTAGCCGTCAGAGCTAAGAATAGAAGAAAATAAATTTAACATTTTGTCATGAAACGATAGATTGTGATAAAACTTTAAAAATGACCATTTGGCAGTCTTTCATTAAAAAATTTCTAACGTTGGTAAAATTGCACGGGTGTGAACTGAATAGAATTGCTGTTAGATCTAATGTGATCAACATTAAAAAAAAGACCATTTGACGGTCCTTTATCAAAATTGATAACGTTGCTAAAATTACACGGGTGTGAACTGAATTAAATTTCCCTAGCAATGCTTCGTAAGTCTTTCCTTCTGTTGCACACGACCAGATCGTCCACAGCTTTAGCGGTTTCATCGTTGGTGGCCTCTTTGGCCGCCACGGCCGCTCATCATCTCCAATGCTCTTCCTTTAAGTAGATTCAGCAGCCCATTTTTTCACAGTGCTATAGCAATGGGACTCCTTCCCAAGTTTATCCATGAAGTCTTCATGGATTTCCTTGGGGGACATCACTTTCTTACAGAGGTACTTAATGATGGCTCTAATTTCAACTTTCTCCATTTGGTCTAAATGACACACCCCTCTACTGATCAAAGTGTGTTTATGTTACTTAATCTGTGTAAAACCGCGTGGAATCTCAGTAATCTTCAATAAGATATCGGTATCGACGTACCGTGTATTAATGTAAGTGTAGTGGCTAGAAGTATATCGGGCCGAGAACTTTTTGATAATACCTCGAATTTCTATATAAGCAGTTGTTCCTCTGTTTCTATATTTTGAACAGCACTTTGAATGAGGTCCATTAATAAAAACACGTTATTGCATAGCAAAATAGATACGACGCTGACACGAAACCTCTTAAATAAAATATTTCTTGTTATTTAATCTTTTCTTTTTTAAAATATCACAGATTATTATAGTTTCACACATTATTTCTGACATAATGAAATATTTAATAATCCTAAGAATTATTGAAAAAAAAATAATGCAGCAAGATCAACAACAAAGTATGTTGAGGTTCCGTTACATTCGTCTGAAATCACTTTTTATGCTGTGAATGATAAACAAGAACATGTAAACATTTCCTATGTCACTGGGACATTTTATAACCAAACGTGAAAAAGGGAAAACGTCCGGCATATGGTCTTGTCCGGCAGAGGGTCGGCATCCAGTGAGTACTATACTTAATACCAATATCACTAAGTTCGTAGAACGTTCAAAGGAAAATATACTTTGTTATAATTTAATTCCACTGCAAGTTTCTATATGTGTATATATCAGTATTTAACAATATGTTCATAGGGATTTGGGTGGGGGCATTTTTTTATTGACTTAATATATTATATATTTAGTAGGTAGATACTTTAGGTGGTTCTCTAAATTTGGGTGGGATACGGAAGCATTAATGTTACGGTCGCCGGTTCTTCAAAGGATTTATAAACTTTTGCTAGTACAGCCTTCATTTATTCACTGTTGCCTTCACATATGGTAGGTAAATATCCACATTGGTCCTAACACATTGCGCAGAGGAAGGGATCATTGTCGTCATGGTCAAGTTTACAAGATAAATGTGTATTCTTCTGAACAATTTTCTAAATAAATAACTGAGGGTTTTGAAATTTGACAGTAACATACCATGGTTTGTCTTGTAACCTTTTTGACTGCTTCAAGCATAGTTTCCTAGTATTTTCTTCTTTTGGCTTATTCTAACTTGTTTTGCATTATTTTAATAAGTAATGTTATAATTTCAGTGTACAGCACATGAATTGATACAACATGCCTGTGTTGACAAAAACGGGCAGAAAATTTGTATGAGATGTAAGATGAACATGAATAATTTACATTTAAAGAAATTCTTTCACTGTTTTATATTTGATTTCAACAATCAATGTTTTATTTTTTACAGTTACAAAGTTAACAAAAAATAAAAAAATAAATGCCAACGCAACAAGATAACGCTTGCATATTTAAAGTAGAAGAAAAGACAAAATATTCTTTTGTAAAGATATTTCACCTCTTACTTTCAGAAATAACCTTCTCTACCCCAATCATACTGCTGGGTCTGTCGGTAAAGAAACAGTGACAAAAATTACCTGTGAGAACATCGCCGAATAACCACGCTGATTAACATGTAACATGACATAACATTTAAAAATGTTAATAGTTTGGCCGTGGGTATCCGACGATGACCTATGAAACACATTGAATGTTTTTTTTATATCCTGTAGGTTTGTGCGAAGACTTTAGCCAGTGTAAATGGAATAAAAGTGGACTTTTTTGTGAATGCGGAGGAGGCTTTTTCGGCGATCATTGTGAATGTAAAAGCGGTAATTAAAAAAAACTTCCACATTTTTTAAGTTAATGATTTACTTTGACTTTTGTAAAATGTAGTGTCTGTAATCCAAATAAAACATATCCTAAAGAGGAATACAGATTTTTGCCTTTGTTTTCAATATTATCAGTTTGCTAATTAAACCTTTCAGAAACTAGTCATTGTGACCCAAACCCTTGTGTCCACGGCTGCTGTAAAGAAGATGGTGATAGTTACAGTTGCCAGTGTAAATCTGGATGGGAAGGACAGCATTGTGATACAGGTAGTGCAGATTCGGATTGACTGCATGTATTATTTATTTTTCGTTGCATTCCTTGTGTTTTTCATTGTTTAGTGGGTACACTTTAATTCTTATTTATTAACTGAATATCAAGCATCTGTGCTATTACAAGTATCGCCCCTGCATTTGTTTGGTGCCTTGTTGGGTTCAATGTCAGTGGTTTGGTGTAATTTGGTTTTGTACCGGGCTGCTTTCCCTGATTGTTGGTCTGTATTCTTATACTTCCCTCCTGTCAGTCATAGACCATTTTCCGTACTGATTATGAACATATCTTCAATTGTCGCACATTCTTGTATGTTTATTGAGTAAGAGGCGAAATAATTTTATTCAGTTACAATATCTAGTCTATCACCACCCTTGTATGTATGCTTATAATAACCAGAAAAAGTTGGGGCCTGATATAAAGATGTATTAAGATATTTTTATCATTTGTACATGCTATTTTAAGACCTCTCCAATTCTATCCTTTCGGGCATTGTCTACTGTCATCAGTGTGAGGGACCTGCATAGATTTGACGCAGTCCTCAATTTGCTCTTCTTCTCAGGTGACTTCAATTTCATATAACCCGAAAAAGGCAAATTGTTCAACCTTGTTTGAATAATCGCCCCTCTGGGCTATTTAAACATGAACGGTGGCTGTGTTGTCTTCAGGTCCCAAACAGTTGCGAGAGGCTCTCTTTTTCGAGGAAGACTCATGCCTGCATATTGTTCATTCTATTTTCTTTTGAGTGTTTTAGCGGACAGTTTCTAATCGTCAACTCAGGAACCTTAAGTATGGACATCAACGTTCGATCTCTGTTGGATGTCAAATCAAATTTAACACTATAATTTATTACGTTTGGGCACATCGGTCTTCAATTTGCTAGGTGTATAAAGACCGAGGTGGGACTTTCACCCAGTCTCAATTTCCTATTTTTGGATAGTGTCGGTTGTGGAAACAGAAATGCCTCTTTTCTACCCCGATATTTTTTGAGTTCAAGATGAATAGTGATATGGCGTTTACTTGAACGAACGTCTATGTTTGTTAAATGTCTATGCTGATTAAATTGATGGTTTCTGAAGTATTGTGTTCTGTCTCTGATTTTCATTGCTCTTAATTATTAATGTCAACATAAACGGAAAGCGTTTTCACGGAGAAAATTGGAATATTGCCAACTATCTTTAAGTGTAAAATGCCGTGAAACTAAAACCTTAAGAAAGAAGCAGCAATATGTTTTGAAAGCCACGATGATTTGTACAATATTTAAGGCAGTTATGCATCATAAGACTAGAGCGTCCAATATATAGTAAAGTGTGGTTCAAACAATTATTTCTTTATCTAACCGCTAACGTCGACGTGACTTCAAAATGATAGTTTAACACGAATAGTCTTTCACGTCTATCATAGTTTAGCCAAATGAATAAAATAAAAAATGAGATTATGAATGAATTGTAAGTACGATATTTAAAGATTTATTTCTAATATGTTGTTATTTACAGATATAAATGAATGTTTATCTAGCCCGTGTGGAGTTGGTTACTGTATAGATGAATTAAACAAGTTTAAATGTGAATGTCCGAAAGATTATATTGACAACTGCCAAGGGATTGATCGTAAGTTGTTTCTTGACAATATGTTACATATTTATCTTTTTAAGTTTTTTGAAGTTTGCTTAAATATTTTAAAATCAGCCACAGATAAATAACAGGTGCATGAATATATCTATAGTTTAATTAAGAGCTGGCCTTTAATAATATATTTTGGATCTATGGATTGCCTTATTGTAACAGAACAGAACAGAAAATTTATTCAGTCTTATGCATGTACAGCACATCAACATCAACCAATATATAAATATATAAATACATTTGTGACAACTGTGACATAGTTAAAACACATAATTATATACAAGTTACATATATATACAATAACAGATAGAGTCATGATATTATTTCTGACAGAATATGATAAGTTTGAGCAAAACTTAATCATTTACTTTATCGTTTTCTTTATCAAATACATGCATCTCAAGTTAACAGCAGATGCGGTCAAAATATGATTCAATTTGTTTCATGCAAAGTTGAATAGTCGAAACTTCTTTGTAATATATTGTTTTGTTAAATTGTTCATTTTTGTACTTACTATAACGTTTAAAGATTAATGAAATAACGTTGAAAATGTACGAAGAATACCAATTTAAGTTTTTATATAATAAACAACTGTACATTGTTTGGAGAAGTGTTGATCCCTAGACAGTTTTACAATCAGAATGTAAAAAGGCGGACATAAACTATTACGTTTATAAATAAATACCAGCATGGGATTATAATGTCGTGTTGATAGAAGTCTGGAGGAGAAAAACCCTGAGTGTGTTAATGAGATAACAAAGGGTGCAAAATCTGGCACACCTTTGTATCGACGTAAGCAATGTTAAATTAACTCAATAACCTCAATGTGAAACACTGGCAGGAACAGATGAAATATGAAGCAACATTTTAGGTGTTGTACTTTTTACTGTTATTAATAGTCGTTGTTCATAACAAACGACGGCTGGTGTTCTATTTTTTTAAAATATGTTTGTCCTTGTAGGAGCTCTGTTTATTAAATATTTATATAGCAAATTAACATGGTTAAATAAATATCTGCTTCGTTTTGGTTATGATAATTGCTGATGGCGATTGCATACTACAGTCCATGCAACCAGAGTAAAAATTAATCTATTAATCAATTAATTTATTAGTGTTTGATTATTGGAAAAAAAATTCTCTCTGAGGTTTTAGCAGCTCTTAAAAGACAACTTTTAAAAAAAAAAAGAATGTTTTCAGAGAATTTTATTTACAATGTGTGATATATGCTGTAATATTTTGATTTGTGCAAACAGTGTTGGGAGGCAATCAAATATTAATTGTTTGCTATATTTTAGCTCTGGTAGTGAATCTTATTATCGGATACCGACAAGTAACATGTAGCTCCGTCTATAATGGCCACGGTCCGGTAAAAGCTGTAGATGGTATCATTGGAAACACATATAATCTCCTATACCACAGCGGCAAAAATGATGTTAAGCCATGGTTTCGTGTAAAACTGATTAGAAAATATTATATCGGTCGAATTGTACTTTATAATAGAAAAGACCAGGTCTGTACTACATATTACGATAGAAGAAAAAGAACAAATCCTGACTGTGGTAAGTTTTTGTGCTGTTGTGTTTTGGTAATTTAAAGATAACCCATTTTAGATAAAAAGCTAAGGTTCTGTAAAACGTATTTTGATTATTTGTAAAGTACAGAGCAAATGAATTCACACATTTTTTATACAAAATATTAAAATATGTCCGTACATACACTCAGTCTGACATTATAAATTTTGTAGTAGTTTAATTGAACTGACTAATTTTTGACTATACATGTATTAATGATTTCTATGTAAGATACACGTTTTAAAGTTAAGTTAGAACTGTATGCTTATATTGAAAAGTGTTCTTTGCAAAGCGATATACTGGTTTAAGGCTGTAGGTGAGTCTGGCAATCTGTTTTCACTTTGAAACAGCTCGTCCTTTTTGAGTAACTCTAGACAATAATAATTGTCAAGATTATTTTCTTAACGTTTAGTGAAATTGACTATAGTTGACTGTACCTTTGTTATATATTGATGTATTGTATGTATACTTAGATACAATGAATGTTAAAACAATAATATAAACTCAATTTGATCTTGACCTTTATATGACCTTGACTTAAACGATGTTATATTCAAATTCTGTTAAACTTGTCCATAAATTACTTATCAATTGATTCATACTTGGACAAACGAACACTAAGCTTAAAACAATCATGTAAAACAGCTCATGTTCTCACCAATTAGGTGAAATTAACAGATTTTGCTAATCTTTGTCTTAGCTTTGTTATCATATGGGCATTATATTTAAACTTTGAGATAACTAATATGAAGTTAATCCCCTAAGAAGGTCCAACTGAACTTGGCCTCGACTTTTCTATGACCAAAAATATTTTGATTTTTTTCTCAAAATAGTCATAGCATTTTTGTTATTTATAGAAGGATTTCGTTGATTTATAAACAAAACAACGCTTTCTATGACAGTATCCTGTTGAGCAAAACAGATAGATCATTGGCAATGAAATGATCTTAGATTAAGGCCAAAATGCATAAAGTGAACCAATTATATACATGTATCTTAACCTGTGAACCAATTATGATACATGCATGACCTTAACCTTTAAATGTCCTTGTAAGTCAAATCATTACATTTTCATGAATTGGCTAATAAAGAAGGTTTTTCATTCATATTTATTTATTTCAACCCTTTGGACAAAACTGTTTTGTGAAAAAAAGAGACTTCAGTATGTCCTTGACCTTAAATTATATTTGACCTTTGAGGACAAATGTATAATAAACACAAAATAGATTTACGCTTAGAATGTAATTTTAAATGGAGAAAGTGCTGCCAAAATAAAACTTGTTCCATATGCACAAGGACACTTTTCTAGAAATAGTTTTGTAAAAGAAACGAAATGCCTTAAAATTATTGTTGCAAAGGAGAATTCGTACTCACCCAACCACTCTAAAAACTTGCCATGCATCGCGCCTAAGTACTGTGCGTTTCTTAGTTGACGTTCTACATTGTATGGTAGCTGATTTTGAACGCTGGTGTGCGCGTTGTCGTACTTTCGTCTTGTCGCCCTGTCGCTAACGATGTACGCCAAACGGCGCGTTGTCGCGATGTCACATTGTCGCTCGGTTCAAACGAAGGATTTGCTTATAAGCCAAGCGACAGGGCGACATCGCGCGCCGTTTGGCGTGCTTCGCTTGAGACATGACAACAATACGCTTGCGACAAGACGAAAAGATAAAAAGATGATAAGACAAGACGAATTTTCGATTTTTAGATTTTTTTCATATTTGCTCTCTTTGTTTCTAGTTTTTCAACATTGTGCTTTTTTCTTCTTCTTGGGATTTTGGGGTTAAAATATTTGAATATATTTATTGAAACATTACTAATTAGCCATTAGGTTTTATTGAAATATTATTTATTTTAGGGGCTCGATTGAGAGATTTGACGATCAAAGTTGGAGAAAATGTTTGTGCAAGGTATACCCGTCCTCCAAAAAATGAACAATATATTCAGATTAGATGCGCGAACAAACCATATGGTGATGTTATCACCGTAATGAAAGATGGTGTATGGCTTCACTTTACGGAGATACAAGCATTTACAAACTAATACTATAAATTTAATAAAAGCAACGTGCCTCCAGATTCATGCTAATTTTCAAGAAATTATTGACAATGTATTCAAAAAATAAAATATTGTAAAGTGAAGCTGACGTTCAATTGTTCCCATACTTTTTGACCGTAAGAAAATCGTCTACAAATAAAAAGCAATCTACACAAGAATTGATAACTTTGAAAATAGTGTTAGTTTTCAGACCAAAAGTGTTCGTGACCATTGAAGATTATAAAAATATTTTAAAGCAACTTCCAATATCCTTATTTTTGTTGGTCGACTGAAATGCCAGTAACCCCGTGCCAACTGAGAAAATAAAAGATAACATTATCAACTTTATCTATTCAACAAAAGATATTATATGACTTCCATAGCAACCATTGACTTTCCTTAGCAATCAGTGACTTCAATACCAACCATTCACTTTTCATATCAATTATTGATTTCAATAACAACAATTGACATTTCATAGTAGTAATAGACATTTATTAGCAACCAAAGCACTAAACGAAATCTTTAGCAACCGGTGACTTCCATGGTAAAAGGGACTAACTTTGCAACCAGTGACTTCCATGGAAGCCATTTATTTGCATGGTAACCATTTTCTTTCTTTAGAATCTACAGCGAGCACAATAGCCACGTCTATATAGCGACCACGGAATTTCCTTAGCGACTAATAACTCCCCTGCAAACTAATGACTTTGAATAGCAAACTATAGACTAACAATACAACCATAGACTTTTTAGCAACCATTGACTTTCCACAGCGAGCAGTGAATTCCACTGCAATTGTTTACTTTCCTTAGCAACAAGTGACGTCCATAGCAAATAATGACTTTCATAATAATCATTTTACTAAAAGGCAACAATTTACTTTCTAAACAAAAACAAACAAGTGTTTTATAACCCTTCCAGATTTCCCCCCTTTTTGATTGGATATTGATCCGCCGAAAAAAAATGGTATAACCGAGCCAGACAGGTAATATAAATATTAAATTTACCCTTTGGTTTCCCCACGTTGTTGTGAAGATGCGCATACGGTTCGTTGTTGTGCAGTGTAAATTCCGATATACAAGCCTTTTAACTGTCAAATAATTTACAAAAATAAAATAAAGATAAATATTCCCATCAGTATTTAAAACAAATATGACCTCGCCAAAGCTTGATTAATTATAAAAAAGTGCCTTCAACAGACTACTCTTTTTCTCTTGTTTACATTCGTTAGGTGACGGTGATGATATTTGCGGTATAGGGTTGCCCTAAAGGGAATGTAATTTCGACGTTTCATTCGAAACAGCAATAGTTCATTTTATTACCCCTCACTTTTTACGTAATGTTAATTTTCCAAATGCATCTGGGAGTTATTCTTACTGTTAATGCAAGTGTACCACGTGACTAAGAATTTTGTACGGTTACATAGGTAACAGTATTTTTTAACAGTATAAAACTTGTCACGTGGTCTATTTTCTAAATAAAATGAAATAAAATGGCCGCCATTTTTTTCTCGATTCATTCTTATTTTCGACGAATTTATTACATTTGCGGCTTATAATGAGGAACGGGGATTGAGTTAAAGAGTATTTCAAATAAAAAACATGGAATTAAAGCCTGGATCACGTCTTTCACTGACGATACACTTATACCTTAACGTAACTCGAAGAACTTGTATCTATGCGTGCATTTTAAATACATTTTTGCCACTTCAGTGAGAATCGTGGTGGGATTATAAGCAAGCAAAAATCATACCGAAATAAATGAACCAGATATTAAGTAAGCATAATTAGGAGAAACGATGAAACTATACATCATAAAACATGTTACTCTAAATCTGCACCATTCTTAATATATTTTGAGATCGTGTAAAAAATAGCTTTCAAGCCCTGGTTAAATTGCAATAAAATTCATCATTGTCTATTTTACTGAAACATTATGCTGATGTATTTGTAATATTCGATACATAATTTATATCCTCCATAAGGCTTTTAGTAGACAGTCTTCTTCGACTGAAGAAGGTTATAAGTTCAAGCCACGTGATACCAAATACATGAAAAATGGTACTGACAGCTCCTGGCTTGGCGCTAAGCATTAAAACAGCAGTGGAAAGAAAATTTAATATATCGAAGGCAAGAAATAGCCCAACTATGTTTCATGTGGGAAATTAGATCGTACACTGGTAAGAGAACCTGTTCAGGTCTATGATAGACGGGCTATCAGTAGATGACTTTAAAAAGTGTTGAAATATCTTGAAAAAAGTGATCCCTCGGAAGCATTTAAAACAGCAAAAGATTCATGAAAATCTTGTACATGATGGATTATAAAAAGTGCAACAACCCTCACACCCCCTTGTACAGGCTTAAGCGGGACTCAAATCTCAACACTTAAAAGTGCTGGACTCAATTATATTAAAGGACCAGAAAAATGTAGCAACACTGAAGTGAAGTACGGGGCACCTTTTTAAGGCTGCCACACTGCACTGGACACCTGCTGCTTTGATATACAACTCCGATTCAGTACCTGACTCCTTTTCAATTTCACATTTCAATATTTTCAAAATATTGCCAGCGCTTTAGGCCGTACAACGTCTTGAAAGACGTATTTTGAGTTAAGGATTTAGTGCCGAAACAAAACAAAATTAGGTGCAATCCCTATGAAAAGACCGGGCATCTAAAACAAAGGCAAGCTTAAGCGGCTCACATGCAGCAGTCATTGCTAGGTAAAGTTCCGATAAATCTTAACAGATGTATAAATGAGAGCCAACATGGACAGCTGGCCAGCAGCCTCGCTGAGATATCCTGGCTTTATTTCAAGTGTTCATATTATGTGTTGAGATGACCCCTCAATATTAACGTAACTGTTCCTCGATAATCGTTCCCGACATTATGTCGCAAATGTCTAATAAATAGGGCATCGCCGAAGTAACTATTACTCTCATAAAATTTAGTTCTTTGCACCCTAGAGTTCCTTTCGCGTATAAAATATCTTTTTGTTGAATAGTCAATAGGAAACATCCGTTTTCAACGGAAGTAATTGAATGTGAATAATTTTGTGTCAAACTGGAACATGCAGACGATTAAAGCATGCAACAAAGGATTATTTAACAATTTAACCGATAGAGTTGGTGGACAGACATCTGTAGGATATCATCGTTATTTTCTAAATGCACTTTGTCAAAAGCCATGCGAAGAATATTATGGATGCAGAAGGATCAGATTTCACAGATCATAACATTATAAATGGGTTAGTGTTTTGTTTTCTAAATAAAACACAGCTTATTTTATGTTTATGACTGGTAGATATCATCACTTGCCGAAAGAATAAAAGAAAAACAGCTTCTCAAGTAGGCCTACAGTACACTTAAAACTTGCAAGGTAAGGGCAGTTTAGATATTGCTTCTCTTGGTTTATTTTTGTTACAGTTAGATTTAGTTGACAAATTCAGATCATCACAGTATTTGTTCGGGGTAATGAAATAAATAACACATGGGTTTGTGGGATATAGTAAAAATATCATCCCTCGTATAAATACTGTTACCCGAGGCTACGCCTCGGGTAACAGTAATTTCCTCGGGATAATTTTTTTCAACTGTTACCCGCAAACCCATGTGTTATTTATATACTCAAATAGTATTACTCGGCAAGGGAAGGGTAAAAAAAAATATCATTTGTTTTTTTTTTTAATGATATTTGAGCCGCGTCATGACAAAACCAACATAATGGGTTTGCGACCAGCATGGATCCAGACCAGCCTGCGCATCCGCGCGGTCTGATCAGGATCCATGCTGTTCGCTTACAAACCCTATAACAAATAGAGAAACTGATAGCGAACAGCATGGATCCTGATCAGACTGCGCGGATGCGCAGGCTGGTCTGGATCCATGCTGGTCGCAAACCCATTATGTTGGTTTTGTCGTGACGCGGTTCATATGTGGTTATATAACCTGCATGGATGTAAAATCATGGCAGGTAATATATTCACACATATCAGTCCAAAACCCAAACTCACGTATATTATTCTTTTTCAGAGTGGAAATATGCTATATTTTGACAATGATTAAACAAACTCATTTATTGCTTCAATAAATATAATTGTTATAACTGTTTAAAACATGTAAACCATAGTTTTTGTACTTAATTAAAATTTTAAGAAAAAATAATGGAGCAAATGAAATTGTCCGATTCTAAATGTTGACATAGATCAACTAAACCACTTTAATATTAAAACATGGCCAGGTAGTCAAGACTATAAGCTTTAACTGAATCCCCGTTCAGCTACGTTGCAAATTATTTTAGAAAATATTAAAATTATCAAATGAGAAGTAATTAAAAAAATAACAAGATATCTTAATCCTGCGTGCTTAATATAGAAAAATAAAACTAAAACGACATCTCCTCTATATCTTGGCTTATTGTGTTAAAACTTATATAACAGGAATGTCTAGGTAAAAGACACAATCTTCTGTTGAGCGATTTGTTGACATCATTGTAGTCATTTCATATAAAGTAAAACAATGTTTAAAAGAGTAAATTTTTCTATTGTGACACATTGTTTTAATATGAAATTACCTGAGTACTGAAATAAAAATATCCTGCCATATATGGCCTCAAGAATGTCAAAAGTTTAACAAATCTACATTTAACATATATCTTATAAAACAATCAGCGTTTTGTGATGAACAGATGGCGTTGATTTAACAAAAATGGTTAATTAGGTGTACATAATGATCAAAGAACATGTCATTAAAACAATAAAGGAATGCAAAATGTTACCATTAAGAATTTCTGTGTTAAATGCGGTGTGAAAAATAGTCTTGATTGTTTTACACTTAAACTATCTTCAAGATTTATTCAATAAATTCCTATGTCACATAAATCGGGAAAGCATTAACTATTTGGAACACTGCTTTTGAAATACTGAAGACCTAAGGAAAACTCAATGTATGCATTTAAGAGAAAGTATAAAACATCAATCGATGAGTTACGATGTGGTCAAATTCTAGCACATTTTTAAAATTCATACATATCATATTGTCTAGTTAAACAAATCAGGCTTTTAAAAGCCACATTATTTCAATGTCAAGAATTAACTAAATAGAATG